AATCGTTCTGTGTGACACGAAAAAAAAGGGGGAAATCGTGTTGGTGAACACGAATCAATAGATTACATTTATTTCGTGACTATAACACGAAATGCCATGAGACTTGGTTGCGTAATTAGACCTTAGCTTGTTAGTATGTTGTTATAAATTATAAACTGAGGATTTGACCGCGTTGCTGCGTAGAGAAAGCTCTCTGGGAAATGTTGACTTACTGTTCGACATGAAGCTAGAAGCTACCTTACAGTACACAGTTGATCCTGAGTCCTGTCAGTTAAAGTGTTTCATAGTTAGCTTAGCTAAGCATCAACCTAGCACTGAAATATATGGATGTTATGTGACAGTATTTCTGAGAAAAAGTCAGCTGAAATGGTGGCATAGTTGCCACTGCTTTACGTGTCGACAGCATGATTGAACGTATTTGCAGCAGTAAATGTGGCTGTTTGGCCACTGACGTTGCCATAACAACACCTGAATGTAAATGTGCAACCTCTTTTTGTGACAGATTTTTGCATGAAATTATAATTCTTCGGAATGATATTCCTATTGACAGCTAGTTTTTATGTGAACATTATGAGATGGACAGCCAGAGAGAATAAATGAAAAACAGGTATGAAATACTATATGACAAAACAAGAATACAGTTTAAAAGGGGAGTGATTAGTAAAATATCCATAAAGAAAAAGTAAATCTGTTTACAGTTCTGTTTCATATGGGTGTTGAGAGATGTATCCATAGATCTCTTAATTTTGCTCTCAAAGTGCACCAGATTGATGCTTTTAACTTCAATATTTAAAAATATGTGTGCTTATGCTAACATCATAAGACAAAAGTTGGTTCCCGCCCCCCGCCCCCTGTGGAGAAGCCCTCGCCCTCGTTGGCGCCCCTGCCCCTGCCCTCGCCTGCGGTCCCGCCCTCCTCGGCCCCTGTGGTCCGTACGCGCCGGGGTCGGGTGGTACGTCCTCCCAGGCGCGAGGATTTTGACTATGGGTGAATTCTGGGGGGGCTTGTGTGGTGATTGACATTATTCACCCACGGATCTATGGGTGGGGTTATTGTTCCGCACGGACCATTTAAGTGACCGGACTTCCTGTTTCCGGGCTCTTCACTTCCCGGGCTGGAAGTTGTTTACATTCCTGTGCAGATGCTAAATAAAAGTCTAGCTTGTAGCTTTGATACCCCTCCTCTGACTCCTTTCTCTCTGCACTACACTTGTCTGTTTGAGCAACTGGCTCAGGGTTGGGAGAGAGTGTAATGGCGCGTTTCCACTACAGCGCGGAGCACGGTTTAAGAGGGCTGTGACGTCAGCGGCCCGTCTTTGGTTGCGTTTCCACTTGGCCTAGTACCGGCCGGCGGGTCCTAATTCACAGTTTTTCTGGCCTCATAAAATCGTGGGTCTAGGGCCAGAGACAACGAGGCTGAGTCGGGCTGAGTATGCTAAACTAGAGAGAGCATCGCTGGCAAGGGGGCTACAACTACAACAAGATGGACATATTTGACCGTGATTTAATTGTAATACACGTTTCCAAATGATGCCGAAGTAACAACATACTGATACCGGTTAGTAAAAACCATGAATTAATGCTTTGACAAGTCTGCAGACAGACGGCAGGCGAAAAACCTTTTAAAATGTGTGTGTTCTAAATGGAGATTGGCTAAGCTAACGCAGTATATGCTCCGACCGTCCACACTCACAACAACGGCCTATACAGACATAAATAAAGCAGCGACTGTATTCACCATGACACAGGCAGTCTGTGGTTTGTACTTGTTTAACTTTTGTCTAGTTTCTGAACATATATGAGGAGCTGTGAGCTCTGAGTGCTAACAGCTAACGGCTGTGTTGTTTTTCTGGGGTTCTCTGAAGATCACGTCACGGCTCCGCCTACACTGCGTTACTATAGATACTACCCCAGTTCCTAAACTGTAATGGAAATGCGCCATAAAGTGAGCCAGTCCTAACGAGGCCCAGCCATACCGAGCGGGGCCGAGCGAGGCCGTGTAGTGGAAACGCGCCATTAGAGAGAGAAAGGTTCCAGGTTGTTGTGTTGAGAATATTCAGGAGAATATTTATCATTGTTCCAATGATAATAAACAAACATTTGCATAAAGCATATTTGTCCACTCATATGTTGATAAGAGTATTACAAACTTGAAAAATATTCCTCTAAGGTACATTTAGAACAGATACAAAATGTGCGCTTAATTTGCGATTAATCGCGATTAACTATGGACATCATACGATTAATCGCGATTAAATATTTTAATCGACTGACAGCCCTAGTATATATATTAGTATAATAATGGCCAACACAAACAGAGATAAACAAATAAATAAAATTAAGAATGTATATTGTGGGTTTTTTCCCATTCCTTTCAGTGAAGGGAGGGATTATATCATTTATATCATATTTTAAAATCCCTGATTGTGAAAAACAATACAACTACAAATGAGTTGGACACACTGAGATTATTTAGTAATTAATCCTAATATTTAAAACAAATAGAAAATGAGTGCTCAGTATGAAATGACTCTTGTTTAACTGTTAGAATTGGTGCAGTGGGAATATACACTGTACTGAATGAATCATTAACAACTAAAGCCTTTTAGTGAAATATGAATTTATAGAACTTAGAATTATTTCTTCTATGTGAGCCTGCAGCAAATGAACACCTGCTTTTCAATTCAAGGCTATTTGAAAAAAGTTGATATATTATTTAGTAGTCTAGAAATGGAAATCACCCCAGACCAAACACCCTCCATCCAACAAAGATACATTCAAACAGATGTGCTGGTGCTTCTGAAAAAAAAAAAAAGAAGCGTTCTAAAAGCTTTGTGTTGAAGGAAGAAGAGCATGTTCTCCGTCACACAGGACGAGGTGTTGGGTGAACGCATGGTCTTGATAAAGAGATATGTGCTACAGATTGCACTTTCATTAGCACCGCTGCACACCTTAATTACCCCGGTGGCAGCCGGCGGTGAATTATTAATGTGGACCATGATGTTTTTTTATTAAACTGTCTCGAGTGGCACAGCTAAGAAACCGATTGTGTGTGTGTGTGTGTGTGTGTGTGTGTGTGTGTGTGTGTGTGTGTGTGTGTGTGTGTGTGTGTGTGTGTGTGTGTGTGTGTGTGTGTGTGTGTGTGTGTGTGTGTGTGTGTGTGTGTGTGTGTGTGTGTGTGTGTGTGTGTGTGTGTGTGTGTAGTGCTCCTTGGTGTCTATAGGGGGCCTCACATGACAACCTATAGCAGCAACAAGCCAATATGTGCTGGAGCTGCTGCAGTCCCACAGAAAACATTTTAATGAGGAAGCGGCTCTGTGGGACACCTTGACATTTGAGAAGTTATTGATTATGAATGAAAGCAGTCTATTGGCTGCTGGAATTGGAAGTTTGTTCCTCTGAGGAGTTCTTCTTGTTAAACACAGATCCATCACGGTGCAGGGCTGACAGCAGCTTGTGTTAATGGAGGCCACACACACACACACACACACACACACACACACACACACACACACACACACACACACACACACACACACACACACACACACACACACACACACACACACACACACATCATGAAACAAGTGATCCCACTGCATATTAGGACACACGGATGAAGAAACACACACAATAATGAAATTATGTTTAGATTTCTTCAACCTTAAGGGGAGGTCCCATTGATATGCTTTCTTGTTGTTAAAATGACTATACAAATGAAGGTCAGTTAAGTATCCATCGTTATAAGATTTTGTCTGCAGTTGTTAGAGCATGGTGAGTGTGATGCTGTGTCTCTTACACTTGCTATTTTAAGCTCTGGCGACCAGGTGCCAACAACATGTGGGACAAAGAGTACTTTATTGCGGGACAATGCGGGACATAGAAGAGGTAGATTTAAATATAATGTCTATCCATCTCTTAAAAATAAACATTTTCTATTTAAACTATTAGCTTTAAATGTTACTAACAATGCTTTACTATGGGTTAATTATTTGCACAAACTATGCAAGTGAAGTAATTCAATATGGAGTTTGAATGGAGTTTTTTTCAAACAAACAATTGTCCGTAAAAATGTCCACACAGCTAATGGGGATAGCCCTCTTGTTTTCTAAACAGCCTTGAATAAAAGTTATAGACGGGCGACTGTCAATTCAATGCGGGACATCGGCTAAATGTGTGGGACAAATTATTCAAATCCTGTGCAGTCCCACACAAAGCGGGAAAACTGGTCACCCTATTTTAAGCACATAATTGCGTCCAAATGTAGAGTATTGCACTATGAGAACTCGGATGACCCTGACATTAAACTTCTCACACTTAACAATCTCCATCTTGGCTATGTAGCCGCTCTGCTGAGGGCACAGCAGCTGTGTGTGATTTAAGACAACGCTACATAGTCCAAATTCAAAGCACTGCAAGTTTTCACAGTGTGAGACAAGACACTGTACTGGAGAAGTGTCCACGTTTACACACAGAATAGGAACATGTAGGGTCTGAAAGAAGATCTTAATGTCTCAATTTGCTGTTTTTATCTGGAGTTTGAACTTGTTTAGAAACTGAGAGTGAGGGCACTGTGGCCTTTAATGGTTCATAAAAAAAAGAGTGTAAAATCTTGCATTTGGAATAAATACATAACCCTAAATACTTTAACACATTTTTTCCCTTTTTTGTGGCTTCTTTAAGGTCAATATGTATAATAAATCTTCAGATACACAACTCTAAATCTGATGCATGCTGATTGGACTCCATGTATGATATATCTGTGAATAAGACCTTCAGGATGTTTTTGTCCCCCCCCAGCCTCCTTACCCAGCCATCAGAGGCTGCCTGATGTATTCCCCTTTACCTCTGTACTGTTTTTGGTTTGATTATTTTGGATTGTGGAGATTTGGGTTGTCTGAAAGCTAGCCCAGTCCCTGCATGTCAACATGCACTAATATGGATGTTTTTGTTTTATTGTGTGTTTGTTTGTCTGTTTGTTTGTGTTTGCATCCTCTGCAGTGTTGTTTACCAGGATGGATTTTATGGTGCAGATATTTATGTAAGTATTATTTATTGGTATGACATTGCATGCTACACCGCCATCTCTGTGGTTTCTGCCCTGTTGCTACGCACATGCAAAATAATACAAAAAAATACAAAAAAACACTGCAGAATATTCAGAGAGAAACATTTTTTTTTTTTACTACTGAAAAAACACACAATGCAACAGAGTGGTGCAGTGATGACATATTCAGAATGATCCAGAAGTGAAAATCACAATGGCTCACTCAGCTGAACGCAATAGGATTCCTCAATCAGATTTTGGAATTTTGCAGACAGAGGTTCTGTTCAGCAGGATTATCTCCACATGTTAACATCACTTATTGATTCTCAAAATCGAAACGAATCAGGTAAAAAGCTAATGTTAGACAAATAAGCTAAAGGTGGCTAATGTTGGGAGCGATGATGTTATTTCAGAGTTCCAAAAAAAAAAGTTGACTTCGAGACGAGTGAACTGAAAGTTGTAAAACGCTCATTTCCTGTTTTTAGGAGTCATTCCTGCACCACTCTATTCCCATCACATGTGGAGAAAGGGATTTGACGAAAGGATTATTTAGGAATCTCATACATTGATGACATTTGAATTCATGATGGTACAACTTGATCCCAAATCTACTGTATTCTTTATTCAACAATTACAAAGAAGCACAAAGTGCAGGCTCTATTATCAGATATTCCAAACCATTCACTCATGATGTTAGTCTAGAGTGAGTAAATGCATTTTTAATTTGAAAAAGTTAGAAAAATATTCTGAAGAGTGCCTGCAGTACATCCCTGGAAACATTTCCACAAAAAAAGTAAGGCATACAAAAGTAAACTAAGAGCAGCTTTTCGCACAGCTATGCCTCAAAATAAAATACATAAATAAATATGATAATGTATTATTGTTATATATATATATATATATTATAGAAAAATAGGCTGCGTCTCTTTTTAGAATAATTAAACAGGATTTGCATAGATCAATTATTAAAAACTGGGCTGTTTATTAATCTGTGCATGGATTTAGGCTCAGGGGGTAGAGCGGTCTCCAACCAATCAGAGGCTCTGTAGCCCGGCCTGCAGTTAACATGTCAAAGTGTCCTTGGGCAAGATACTGAACCCCTAATTGCTCCAGATGCACAGCCAACGGTGTGTGAGTGTGTGTGAGTGTGTGTGAGTGTTCATCTCTCCTGATGAGCAGTTGGTCTTCAGTATAAATGTGGTTGAATGGGTGAATGCTGTGTGTGACTGACATTTTTCTTTGCCATAATCAAGCAATTTTGTAATCAAACAGGAATACAGGAATCAAAATCAATGAAATCCTCAGTTGGCTAGTGAGTTTATAAATGTCTGGGAGGGACAGTCCAACAAGTGAACTGTCAGTTTAGAGCTGAAAACAGACACACATACAGACTGCTGTGGCTCAAGGAGAAAAAGGAGTATCTACCAATCAGAGGGTCAGTGGCTCGATCCCCCGCCCCTGCAGTCAGCATGTCAATGTGTCATTGGGCAAGATACTTAACCCCAAATTGGCATGTCTACGATATTGAAGTGTATGTAAATTGCTTTGGATAAAAATGTCAGCTAAATGACATGTGATGTGGTACAACACGTAACCCAGCTAAACAACCATTTTGTCCTGAGGAAAACTATTAATGCTCAGCTTATCATAGGAACCCCCTTTATTTCCATTTAGTGAATATGTTTTATGGGACATGTAATGTCACACATAGGACCCCATCTTGTTTACCTAGGATTTTATAAAGGAACAGGCTGCTTCAAATCATGTCTTTGCTGGTTAAAACCAGATAACAAATTAAACCAAGACTGCTTCAAAAGGTCTCAATCCGCTTTCAAGTCGTCTCTGGTGCAGTTCCTTTGTCTTGTAGAAGTATACAGGCTAACGTCAGACACGTTTTTTTATTCAATCGATCACCTAATAAATCCATTTGCTGATTGTGAAACCTTCTCTGGAGGCAATCTTATATTTGATAAGTACAAGGCCATGTACTTATTGTCAGTTCCTGCAGGGAGAAAGGGCACAGCTGGCCACCCCCCCCCCCGGGGTTTTTTAGTAAGTAAGGGCCAGTAGGTTGTGTTTGTATCCGACTGTTTGTACTCTGTCAGTTCATTAATTGCATTAAAAGTGTATGACAGTGATCCGTATTAATAGAGTGGTGCAGTGATGACGTACTTTTGTAGGCCAACCCAGAAGTAAGCATTGCAAGAGTTCAACAAAAAGCAATGGGATTTTTCCATTGGATTTTAAAATTTCGCAGAAAAACACACATTTTGAGATACTGAGAACATTTTTTCAGTTCGGTAATTTCCACATAGACCAGTGTTAGGTATTTCAATGCATAAATGCAATTGCAAGAAGTAAAAAGCTAATGTTAGGCTTTAAACAAACTATATCCACTAACAGTCGCATGGCTGCGCATCACCACCGCTAGGCTAAAGACGGCTAATGTTTGTTGTGATGACGTTTAGTCATCTCATTTAGTCATTTGTTATCAACTGCTGTTTTTATGACACGTAAAGCTTCAGAAATTAACCGGAAAGGGTATTTACTGACGTCTTTTATGTCAAAAAAGAAAATCTCTTCAGGGGGTGTTAACCACAGACAGGAGGCAACCAAAAGTACAATACCCTACAACCAGTCTTTACTAGACTAGAAATAACAATGCTTACAATAAATGATTACCTTGTTTTTGTGAAACCAACACACACAAAAATAGACACATCAGAAGCATTAAAGTGCTACATGAACTTCAGCCAGCAGAATATAATTCCCCATGTTGGTCCTGTGCTGAATACTGAAGTCAGTGAAAATAGACGGACCGTCCTCTCTTTACTTCAATGAATCAGCAAATGTGATGGATTGAAAGCTTCCCTGTGTGAGATTGAGCGTGTAGAGTGGCCAAATCTTGACCACACACACCCACACCCACACACACACACACACACACACACACACACACACACACACACACACACACACACACACACACACACACACACACACACACACACACACACAGCTGTGGGATTGTCATTAGTGACTCAGTCAACAGTGTCTGGTGACAATCGCAGGTCAACCTGTTCATCTTCCTGCCCATCATCACTCTGAGCATCACTTACTGGCCTCACAGTTTATAGTGATAATAATACATGGCTCATGTCAGCACAGACTCACTGTCGTAGAGCAGGGCGGGGGGGGGGGGGGGGTGACATGATGTGAGGAGTGCTGGAGTTGTCACTGAGTCTGGAAGATAGAAAAAATTGCTTTTGTTTTATAATAAATGAAGGGAGGGGTTCTCAGCTACAGTGTGTGCCGTTTAACAGTGGCAGTTCTAGATCAATTGTACAGCCCCCCCCCCACTAACTTTTTATTCTTTTGGAGGGGGGCTACAAGGGGGTCCAAGCACAGTGTTACAGGGGCACTGGAACCCCCCCAGCCATGCATGCATTTAAAGGCAAACGGTCTACCAAGCTGTAATATAACATATAACAGCTTACATCTAATGACAAGAAAGAGTGAGCAGATCTCCACCATACACCAAAGTGCTGGTTAAAATGAATAACCATATGTAGCTTTCTTAAGGTTTCATCCATGATGGCAGAGACAGCTTACAACGTCTAAACATAGAGAGCAAAATTCACCAAGTAGTCACATATACAGCATAAAGACACACAGAACGAAATACACTACAGAATATATTGGCAGTTTGTACACAGTTTCAAAGGAACTTTGTTTGATTTTGTCAAGACAAGTTTCATTACAGGAGTTTGACTCAAGTCCAAAAGTTGAACTTAAACTGATGATAAAACTGATTTCTGGGTAAAAGGCTAACATTAAGTGGTAACCAATATTTCCAAAAGTAATCAATCACCGCTGAACAATTAACATTTGATCAAAAGGAAAAATATGTTTAAACAGTATTCTAAATATTTTGGTAATGATTTGATGTCCCAGACTACAATTATTTTTCTGAAGACCTAATAGAAATTAAAATCTTTGTTTGGTACAGATCCTCTTAAAAAAATCCCCAAATGATCAATCCCGTAAGCAATTGCAAAATATGTCAAAAATAATTTAAAGTCGTGCAGCCCTATAATCAATTATTGTAACAGAAATGTAAAACTTAAAGGGGACCTATCATGCAAAATGCACTTTTGTACGTCTTTTATACATGAATATGTGTCCCCGGTATTCCAGGGAACTCACCAAGTGTCAGAAAACACAACCCTCTCTATTTTCCTCCATACCCAAATCTCTAAAAAAGGGGCTGCAACGGATCTGATAAAAACTGATCCAGATTTGAACACTGTCCTGACGTCAGGACGGTGGCGCTACGGCTATTGGGCCAACTCCACCAATCAGGAGGAGACAGCCACGGCCATTGCCGTTCGAAAGCGCTGGAGACGCTGTAGTACATATGCCAGGCCTGTAGATTGTGCTGTTCTCACAGAATCTGCCCTTGCAGAGCAAAGTTAAAAAAAAGTGCAAATTGAGTGAAATGAGGCATGTTAGGGAAGAGATAGCACGCACATACTTTAAGACAACATTTTTATAATTAGTTCATAATATCAGAATGTATATACTAGTATCTGGTACATTTGACAAAAATAGATGTATTAAAGTCGCTTTGTCTGGCGTTTAGTACAGTAGAAAACAATTTGAGAGTATGACACTGAATCTGAATTCACAATTTGTATTGTGTGTGTGTGTGTGTGTGTGTGTGTGTGTGTGTGTGTGTGTGTGTGTTTTCAGGGTGGTTACGCTGCCTACAGATATGCCCAGCCTACTGCTGCCACAGCTGCTGCATACAGTGACAGGTAAGATTTAAACTCAGACACATCAAAATGTAAATTATTACCATTATCATTATTATTATATTTAAAGGTCAAAATCAGATATCATGACCCACAGACCGGACTATCATCATGGTATCATTTCACAGAGGCGACTGACTTAGTAACCCTAACCCTCACACTGAAAATCCTTTGTAATTCATGCATGCTTTTTAACAGAAATGTACAGAAATTAAGAAACAAATTAATTCACTATTGCTTCAGCTACAGCACAACTTTATTTAACAACTAATTGAATACATTTACAGTAGGGGAGAGTGGGGTAAGATGAGCGGGTTAGGGTCCGGTTGCTGAATATGCATCCATACCCTAACCCTTTGCTTACCTTAACCAAGCTTTTTAGTTGCCTTAGCCTAACTTCAATTTTTACAATATTTCCATATAAACCTATAGTGTAGGAGCCATGTGCAGACTATGCATAATTTCAACTTGTTTCCTAGAAATGGGGCTGGGTGCACTAACTGAAGGAAAACCCAGATCCATACTCATTGTATTGACCCCCCCTCTTCATACATTTGATAAACAGTAACAGTGGGCCTAGTGTCATATGCAGTAGCACCACAAAGAGCCATTCAATCAATCAATAGGATACGGCTATAGTAGGCCTAGGGCCTTTTAGTCGCTCATAAATAGTAGATCACTGTTCTTTATATACTATGGATGCTGGCAACAGTCACATAGTTCAAAGTGAAGGTGATGTTTGACCAGTAATGGTCGAGGCGGGATTTGAGACAGTTAACAGTCTTGGATGTGACAACACTTTCTGGCAGATCATTCCACAAGTCAACCACACGCAGGCTGAAAAGGTTGTAGCGGATAGCCAGTCTTGAGTACTGTTTCTTCAACTTGAGGCAGCGTCCACGCGTCCTGGTGTTATAATCCCGTTGTAGTGGGCATCATGCCCACTACAACGGGATTATAACACCAGGACCAGTTTTGTAGATGTTGTGGAGATATTTGAAAACTTCGATCATATCTCCCCTCGCCCTTCTATAATACATACTCTGGATCTTAAAGGCCCTGACACACCAAGCAGTCACCAGAGAACTCACCGACGCCGACTGTTGCGTTGCCGTGTTCTCCTGCGTCTTGGCCATGTGTCGCACTGGAACACACCGCAAAGACTTCAGCCGAGCACGTACGAACTGCGCATGCGTGAGTGGCAATAACTCTCCTTAGCAGCAGGCGGCGGTAGTGTGTATTCGTCATTCAAAAGAGACAACAACCGGAAGACAGAGAAGAAGAACAGACTGCGTGATCTAAACAAACAACAAATAGCGTGTGCGTTCCATTTTCACTCTCGTCCATCGAAAACATGTTTCGTGCGGTACCGGAGGTATCAGCCATTGGAGTGTTGCTTGTGGAAGACATTCTCAAGCAACCGTTTCGCTTCTCATGCACTGATTCGCTAGCTGAACACAGCCAATCAGAATGATTTCTTTGTCCGACTGCCTGTGGCCGACGCACGGCCGATTCAACATGTTGAATCAGCCGTGCGTCGGCCATGAAAGGCCAAATAAGGCGTGTCACGGCCGACGGTGCGGGACACACCAAATTGAGTTTGGGCGACAGGGCACGCTTCGTCGTCCGACTAACGACAACGGCCGATTTCGGCCTGGTGTGTCAGGGCCTTAAGACTTCGCAGTCGTTCTTGATATGGTAGGTCCTTTAGTTCTGGAACCAGCTTTGTTGCCCTTCTCTGTATTTTCTCGATGAGCTCAGCATCCTTTTTGTACATGGGGGACCAGGCGACATTCCCATACTCGAGGAGTGGCCGTACAAGAGAGGTGTATAAACTACGTACTACGTCAGAGTCCAAATAAGTGTATGATCTGCGGATCATTGCTAGGATACCATTCGCTTTCTTAGCTGCCCGATGGATATGGTCACTAAATGTCAGGGTATTATCAACATTCACACCAAGGTCCTTTTCATTCTGAGTCTCAGATAGGTTTATGGTGTTTGATTTATCACCCATATTATACTCATATTTTGGGTTCAGAAAACCTAAGTGCATTACTTTGCACTTTGCCGCATTGAATTTCAGCTGCCAACACTCGGACCATCTTTGCATTTCTCTGAGATCTGACTGGAGTTTTTCTGCATCCTCCTTACACTTAATTACATTGAAGACTTTAGTATCATCTGCAAACATCTCATGGAGCTCACATTATCGGGTAGGTCTTTGATATAGACGACAAACAGTACAGGACCCAGGACACCACCTTGTGGAATTCCACTGAGAACTGGGCACCATCCAGATGGTTTCCCGTTAACAAAGACTCTCTGTCGCCTGTTTTCCAACCAAATACAGTTGAACTTCCCCATATTTATTTGTTAGTAGATTCGAAGATACCTGAGTTCCTGTCTGACTGCCGCTAGCTGAAGCTTGATTGCTAGGTTACTAGCTGGGTGTCCTCCGATAAGGACAAACAAAGTGGGAAACAAAGTTAGTGATTACTGGTTCCATGTTGATTTATTTCAATACAAATTGTTGGGGGGAACTTAAGGGCTATTACCGTACTGGTTACTTTGCAGCCCGGACATTTCCCCCAAAACACATTTAGACGCGATCGCAAAACAGAAGTACCTTTCAAATCTGATCATTTTTAAGACCTTCTAAATCATATTTAAGACCTCTCTTATTTTTTTGGTCATATTTAAGACCTTTTTAAGGCCTTAAATTCAGATTATCAAATGTAAGACTTTTTAAGACCCCGCGGGAACCCTGTTGAATATATGCTCAATTCGTGCTTCACATTTGAAAAGGTCCCAGTTGAAACAGTGGTTTCAGGGGCTGAAGAAAGATTTCAGGGTGTTTATTGTCACGAACTTGGATACACAAGGATAAGGACTCAAATGCACGACTCGGGAGCCAGAGGTAAAGTATAATTAATATACTATATTTGTACAAAAAGGTAACAAAAGAAAATCACTCTTACGAGATGACAAAAAAGGCTTAAACAAGGTACAACAGAAACGTGAGGAACTAAACTTATAATACGTTTCAGGAGCAAAAATAGGCTTGAATCAAACGAGCAAACGCTGAAGAGCAGAGTTCTGGCATGAGGACAGGACAAGACGAACTGACAACAAAGGGAAACTGGGGAATATAAACAGGAGATAACTGGGCACAGGTGAAAACAATCAGGGGCGGGGCTGGTGCTGATGAACGCGGGAGAACACACTAGGGAAGGGAGTCAAGGAACCTGGGGTCCTTCTCAGGTCGACTATTTTCATTTCCTCGGTCCTCGGTATCACCGGAAGTTGATTTGTCTGCGCCATCTTGAGTAGCGTCCCATGGCTCTTATTTCTGCTGGAGGACCGAGGATCGAGGAGCGATAATGGAGGAGCGATAACCGAGGAACCACCAGACCATCCTCCGGTGAAATCCTCAGATACTCTCCCCGCCCCCTTACTGTGTATCGCCCACTGATTGGACGATGCAGCGCATGCACTGATCTGATGCTTCTTGACATGAGAGCAGAGTTTCCCAGCGGAGTGAAGAAAACACATGAAACTCACGGGACTCACTCCTCAGTTTATACTGTGTTTTGTTTCAATGAATGTATAATTTAGTTACAAATATGTGATATATCTGAACAACAAAGTGGTCAAAAATTATTTTATTCATTTATTGGAAACATTTTCATGATCGCTTTTTCGTTTTACATTTTCATTTATTGTCATTTCCATTCAGTCAGTCATTAAGTGCTATTTAACATGTTAATTTGCTACATATCCACACAAACAAACAAAGTGTGCAATCCAATGAATGTTAATCTAACTGGGTTTTGATAGATAACATATCTCTTTTTCTTCTCTCAATTATTTTTATTTCTATTGTGCACTCTAATTAATATTAATCCAACTATTGTTCGTTTATACATTTTAAGAATGGCGTTTATCTTTTTTGAGAATGAGTTCTTATTTTATTTTATTTATTTGGGTCTACAACAGATGATACAAATGTTTGTGTCAGTAAATGTGTACTAACAGAGGCGGGGGTGTTTGTGAAAATAACGGGGACAGAGCTGGCTGCTGTCAGACGATGTGCGGAGTGTTGGAGTAGAATACCTCTGCTACGCGCCGTTCGTTGGATGAGGCTGGATCTCTATTAAATTAAGAAAGGAATTGAAAACACCGGAATTAAAGTTATAACAAATTATCTGAGTTTACTTCTAGTAGGAAACCAAACACATATACAAGTTATACAGAGTACTCGAGTACTCCGGACTTTTAGATTTGTGATGCGATGCGGATAAAAGCGTCAGGACCAGACAAACTCATCAAACGAGAAGAAATTGGACTTCAAGTTTGTGATGCGATGCGGATACAGTTATCAGGACCAACAAACTCACCAAACCCAAAAGCCATTTTACACACACAAACATCAGTATTTCTATCTGTCTTTGGGGCGGAGATTTGTCGATTCTTCCTTCCCACTTTTCTCCCAAGCGAATTAGAGAACCCCTGGGGAGGAGCTGTTTAAGCTGACCACCTCCCCCAAGTGTCCTGACTGGCTGGATTCCCTTCTGGTCTGGTTCAATCAGAGTTCGGACCATAAAGTTCCATAAGGTCAAAAGTCAACCTCTATCTGTGATTAGAATCTTAACTTCATTTCTTTCCCATGAGTTCTCCACATATTTAACGATGTCTTTTAACGACTTAAAAACAGCACCTGGTCTTAGCGGTGATAAGGAGGATGTAATGTTGTCTTTAACGACCTCAATGACGACATCTGCTTTTAGGAGTGAACTCAAGGTTGGTGTGTGAAAACAGAATCTCTAGGTCAGTGAGTTTAAAAGTGAGAACAACATTCCTATATATATGATTACCCATAAACCGTTGTGATTACATAAAACAGTTCAAACAATACATGTTTACTTCAATACAGTGTAGAATCATATCTTCTTACTTCAATCCCTCTTTTGATCTCACCTCATGAGATCAACATATAGCAC